AAATAGAAATCCAGAAATGTATAAAAACGAGTTTTTAGACTTTTTTACTTTACCTGATGTGGGGTCTTTTTCTTTTTAATAATAATCGCACAGCCTTCAGAGAAACAAACGAGGGTCAGTTGTTGAGTTCTTGACCCCCAATCCCCAGATTGTCCCAGTTTATTTAAAAGATGTGAATTCCATGTGGTTATTACGGCGAGATCTGGCTGATGCGTACTCCTATTAAATTCTGAGAAACAAAGAATTCTTGATCCTCCAATAGTCGATCAGTAACATTTAAATGATTTATAAATGATATAAATGATATTAAAGGACACGAAGAATATAAGAAATGTATAAAAAGAAACTCTATTTATAATTCATTGAAGTGAACTGGCGGTATTATGCTTGAATGTTAATAGTGTCTATGAATTTGTTCACTATTGGAAAAGTTGAAAGTGTGAATAAACTTTCATAGTTTTCCACGTTCTTCCATGTAAGAAAATGTCTTCTATGTAAGAAAAGACCTTCCATGTTTCAATGTAAGAAAATGGTTTCCATACAAGAAAAATATAAGGAGATCCAATAACCAGGTAACTCGATGACCCTATTCCAACAAGTTATTATTACTTTTATAATTTCTATAATTTCTATAATTTCTTTAATTTCTTTAATTCTATAATTTCTTTAATTTCTATAATTTCTATAATTCTATAATACCGTCTGAATATACGAACGTACAATTGTTGATGTATAAATAAAAGTATTCTCTGTTCATTGTTCTCTTGGCATTATTTTTATTCCAAATGTCGTAATGATAAACGACGTGCTTTTGATGTATTTCGTTTTAGTTGGGTATAATTGCATCGCTCGACCATTATAATGCGTTTCATATTTCTTGCTATCACTTTTGTTTATCGATTATGATAATAAACTATAATAAACTATAATAAACTATAATAAACTTTGTGGTAAGATGGTGACATTCCTCTGCTTTTTTTAAACTATGTATTCAACTCATGCAGTATCCAACACATGCAAGTACCATTAAATTCTCAATTTCTTTGAAATGTTCATTTGTTCTCCATACAAAGGACACGTACGTATTCTATATATATTCTATTTATATTCTATATATATATATATTATATATACGTATATATTTTTTATACATACATTCTATGCAAAACTCAAAAGGTTATAAATACAGCATACCTCCCAAAAATCTGATCCCCATAATGTTTTCTACCTTACGAACCATTAATATATATTTAACATTAATATTTAACATTAATATTTAACATTAATATTCAACATTAATATTTAACATTAATATTTATTAATATTTAACGTTAGGATTTATAATAAGATAAATAAATGAAAACTCTTCGGCTTCTAGACTTTTGCACGATAATTCAGTAATTATCAGTAATTATCAGTAATTATCGGTAATTATCGGTAATTATCGGTAATTATCGGTAATTATCGGTAATTATCGGTAATTAGTAAAATTAGTAACAATTGGTATTCAATAAGTCTTTTACAACACTTATTTACTACTAATTTACCACTAATTTACATTCTGCCATCACAAACAAGAATAGTACATACTAATGTGTTCGTTAAATATAATGCCAGTTACATATTGAATTATTAATGCTGCCGCATGTTGCATTTATAATATATAAATAATCAAGCACTATACTCGTGGTTAATGTGTTCCAAAGTAACCCGCAAAAAATATTTATGTACGTCTTTATCTCTCCGCTAATACGTATGAATACGTATGAATACGTATGTCATGCTCATTTATTCAGAAAAGAATAATAAACCATTGTACTGCTGTGGTCGCATTTGAATTCTTTTAATTCTTTTATTATACGCTCCTACGTACAATGTACAATATCAATCAATATACTGTATACGTACAGTACGTACGTACCTGATACGTAGATGCATACATAACAATATACGTTTATACTTAGCAATTTATATATAGTAATATATACTTTGCATATGCATATTGCATATGTATACATATGTATAATGTAGCATATGTATAATGTAACATACAGTATGTATAATGTAATGTATAATGTTAAATGTTACGTTAAGTAAAACTATATGTCGCAGTGCTAATTATATGCTATGTAACAACCAGTTTTGATAAATGCTATGCTATGCACATAAATAATATTGCATTTTTTTTTCCTGTGATCTTGCATAAAAAATATTATCACAAGATGTACATACGTACGTACGTACGTAATAAATAAACCCGGATTTTTTTTTATCTAAAAATAAATCGGATAAAGGCACTGGTATTGTCAAAGTTTCACTACCGGAAAAAAAACCATGCAGGAGTTTACAAAGTTACTGTATTTATTATCATTTATTATTTTGTATTATTTTGTATTCTTATTTAAATTCCTCTTTAAATACCGATACATATTGCTGTAAACTATACTTATGTTATCCGTATGTGTTACTACAATGGCACTACTTTTTTAAGCTTTGTATCCTCCGTCTATTTAGCCTTTTGGACTACTGTTGGACGCGGTTTTTCGATTAATAATAAGGGTTAGTCTTGAATGCTGATTATTTTTTTTGCATCACATAACCTTACCAATTTAATCTTAAATTATATATTTATATATATACCACGTATAAACTCCATTTATATTATTTCTATATTACTTTTTACATTACCTATTATTACGTTATATTACTATTAGCGTT